TGCCCTACCCTGGGCTCCATGGCTCGTGTGGGTTCTGGAACATTGGGAGTAATTAAGGCTTTGACAGTCAGTCATTGCCGTTTACTTAATTGCTGGCTAATAATTAAAACCTCACAGAATGTGGGGAAATCTGAGTACTGGGTGACGGGTCCCCCTGAGCCTCCTGCTCCTCCTGGAACTTGCGGGTCTCTGTTGGAGCTTTTCCCCTGAGCTGGAGGCTCGCTGTCCATTGCTGTACCACATTTTAGCCTTCCCGCCCAAGCAAGTCCCTGTAGCCAAGTGTGCCCCACAGGCGAGTCTGGCCGTGAGAGAAGCAGCTGTCAGGCTTGATGATGCAGAAGCCAGGTTTGGTGAGCATCTCATTTGGCCCTAGATCCAGGTATGAGAGCCTCCAGTCGCCCTTGTCTGTGAATGGCTGAGAGTGGGAAGCTCGGGCCCCAGTGCCCACCCACCTCTGCCTTCTGCCGGATCCGAGCTACATTTCCAGGAAGCTTGCTGTGTGCCGGGCACGAGGCTCAGTGCGCTGGTCCTTAAGCCTCGACACAGCTGGACTAGGTGAGGCCATTCCTCTCCCCACTTAGCAGAAAGGAAAACTGCAGTAAGATGAGATGACCTGTTTAAGATCAACCCAGCTGGGAAGGGCCGGGGAGCACCTGAATGCTGGGGTTTCTTCTTTACACTATGAACTATGCTTTTCTAGGGTTTTTGTTTATTTGTTTGTTTGTTTTTGAGACAGGGTCTCTCTGTGCAGCCCTGGCTGTCCTGGAGCTCACTCTGTAGACCAGGATGTCCTGGAACTCACAGAAATCCACCTGCCTCTGCCTCTCAGTGCTAAGATTAAAGTCGTGCTCCACAGTGACGGACCTAAGAATTACGTTCTTGACACCAAATTGAGTCTTTAGGCTAGCAGCTGCTCATCCTGATCATCCTTGGGAGGCTTGTCCCCTGTCTGATGTCAGGCAGGTAGAAGAAATCGGCTCCCATCACCCTCCCAGTGTCCCCTGGGCCCTCCCTTCTCCTGCAAAAATTGCCTCTCTTCCGCGAAAATTTCTTAGTCACCTTCCTGTCACGTAGTGGGAGGCGTGTTTGTGTCTGCAGAACCGGCACACCTTGGTGAGATGTGCATATTCTGAGGCACAGCATCATAATGGAAAAATGAATAGGGGTTTTGGAATCCAAACAGATATAATGAATCCAATTGAATACCGTGGAGTCATACGCCCGGCATCGTGCCTCGTGTGTGGCAAACGCGTAGTCGCTGGCATTACTGGCAATTCTGTGTGCGTGTACCTGTGTGTCTAATATATTTGATTGTTGATCTTTAGCCATTAGATTCCATGGACAGGACACTCTCTGTAGGTGTGTGCGTGCGTGCATGTGTGAGTGCGTGCACACGCACATGCACGCACACACACACTTCATTCTTGGCGCTATAATCTGTTCTGCAAAATCTTAGCTGTTATGTGCACGAAGGTGCCACATAGGTTGGGAATGTCCTGAGCAACAGTAGGGAGAAGGCGCCTCCATCTTAGCTCTGTTTTGGCCCCAGGTCCACTCATGCTGAGGCCACAGAGTTGACCAAGATAGAGGGAGGCAGCCTCCAAGACATGGGGACTTAACCAAGAGAGTAAAGTAGAGCACCTTCGGGTTATGTTAATGTCATCGCACCGTGACTAGTACCTCACATCCCTCCACCCCTCCCAGATCTTCACTCTCACTGGACACAGTGAGAACGAAGAAATGCTTGTGGGGAAGAGGTGGGTGGGCTGCAAATACAACTTAATGTATTTTTAAGCTAAAAAGTCGAAAAATGCCTTGGGAAATCACAGATGTGAATATTACCCCCCCCTTCCCTGAGCACACACACACTCACACATTCCACACACACATACAACTAGGTTAAGTATCTTCTTGGGTCTCAGTGGCCAGTTCTTATACGCATGTAAGTCCTGGGGTTTCAGTTTCCTGTATCTTTTCTTCCCAAGAGGGGAGGGAGAGAGAGAGAGAGAGAGAGAGAGAGAGAGAGAGAGAGAGAGAGAGAGAGAGGAGAGACAGAGACAGAGAAGGGGGTGGCATACCCTAGATGGCCACCAGGCGGCACTGCTGAGGCACCCAGGAGCTCTAGGGTGTAGCCTCTTCAGGACTGCCCCAGCCAGGGCTCTCAACAGATCCGGTCACCTCCTTGCCTCCCCTATCCCACCCTGGGGGCTGCAGATAATTCTTGGCCTCCACCATCTCCTGCTGGTTGCGCTCCTGCACCTTAGCCCCTTACCTTCTCTGGGACACGCAGGGCTGAGCTGAGCCGTTTCAAGGACCTCGGTGTCTGATTTTTGAGTAGTCTATGCTGGGGGCTGCCCTACTCTACTCTGTTGACACGGGAAAATGTAGGGGTTGGGTGGAGGTCTTTGAGGAGACTGGGGCAAGAGGGCACCGTGACTGATAGATCAAGAGCTGATATATATGTAACAGAGTTCTCTGTCACTACCAAGATTTGGGGTTCCAGTTCCCATCATACCCTGCTGTGCCCCAAGGCCTAGGGAATTAGGAATGAAGCTGATTGACTGTGTGGATTAAACATTTTTATTTCCTTAAAGAGAGGCGGACTTTTTTTTAAATGTCACAGTATCCAGCCACTACACACACACACACACACACACACACACACACACACACACAATTTTAAAAATATGATTGCACTCATTAAACCTTGGGATATCTTCAAGTGCTACTGTATACCGTCACTGGGCATGACACTGCTGATACAGAGGTGCCCTGTCTTACATCAAAAGAGATGAGTTTCTTTCAGACTCTCTATCCTGTGCTACACGATAGTTGTGCAACCTCAACCCATTTATGTGATCTCTCCGAGTGTCAGTGTTCTCATCTGTAAAATGGAACAATAGCACAGATCTCCCAGAAATGTTGTGAGGATTCAACTGGATGATGTGTGCAAAGAACTGGGCACACCCTAAGTTTCTGAATAACTCTCAGTCACTTTCCTCTTTGGAAACACACTTCGGAGATGGGTGTACATTGGATCATTTCCGTCAAAACCATAGAAAGCATCACCGTCCTGCGAAACCTGTACCTTCTTCTAGGTTCCCACATAGGCACTTGAGAATTAAACCTTAAAGTATATAGGTGTACACTTTCTGACCCTGCGTCCCATGCCAAGCCATCAGTTAAAGCCATGGATCAGTTCACGAGGTGGCACTTGCCAGGATAAACAGGCATTGGCAGCCAGAAAGATGATGCCAAGGCTGTGGGCAGAGCACAGACCACTGGCATGGAGGCCTGCCGTTCATCCTTGTTCACTGACCCCATCATGGAGTGCTGGGTACATGGGACTGGCCATGAGAAGCTGCAGGGTCGGGACAAGACCCCAAGGGAGCGAAACAGAGAGATGGCCAGGCGCAGGTCTAGAGCTGGTCCTAAGAGAAAGTGCCCCAGAGGCTCTGGGGAGAGCCATACAGCATGGCCCTGCCACCCCACCCAGCCTCTCTTGGCCAGCCATCCAGTGACAGCCAGCCAGCCTGAGCTCAGTCCTGAGAAAAAAAATACCTCTTATGGGATTCGGAAATGTTCTCTTTGGCAGCCAAAAGGAGCTTGCTCTCCTGCTGAGTCTGTGGGTGGAGAGAGGCTGGGACTGGGGGTGGGGGTAAGGTTGGCTTGCCCAGGAGGCTGGAAGGGTTGGGGGGCGGGAGGAGAGGGCTTGTCCCATGGTCATCTTGCTGTCACTGACTGCTGAAAACTGCCTTTTGAGGAAGATTGGGGAAGCTGGGTCCTGTTCAGTGACAGTGACTTCAGATCCCAACATAAACGGTGAACTGTGGGGCAGGGCCTTCATCACGTGTCCTCAGTACCAAGTTCTGGTGGTATCTTTGTTGTTTCATTTGTATTCATTGGCGGGGGGGGGGGGGGGTTGCTTGGGGATTTTTGTTGTCTTTATTTCTTTCCTTTTTGAAATAGGGCCTTGCTATGTAGCCTTAGCTGGCCTAGAAATTGCTATGTAGACCAGGCTGGCCTCAGACTCCAAGAGATCCACCAGCTTCTGCCTCCTGAGTGCCAGGATCAAAGTTGTGCGCCGCCACACCCAGCCCCAAGTGGTTATTTGATAAAGATTTGTTGGCTAGGTCAATAGAAGGGAGAGGAGGGTTCTTTGAGTTGCATCATTTGGAGGCTGTTTCCATCCTAGATGGGAGAAAGGATGAAGCTTTGTTTATGGGTAGAGGCTCTCAATGGTCCAGGCTAACGTCATCCTGCCAAGAAACCAAGGCTGAGCAAAGTGGTCCTGACCAGTCCAGATTCTGGCCACACCCATACTTCTTCCTCAGTCAGGATCTCCAACTCTTGAATAGGCTCTGAACTGCCCCAGAAAATGACCGCTCATCTCTAGCTCCCATCAGCCACCTCACCTTCAGGAGGCTTTGCCAGGACTGCCTCCTTCCTAGACCCCACAGAATAACTCCACGTGTTCCCAAGCCTTCAGAACACTGGCCAGTGACAGGCTGGTGGATTGAAACTGGCCATGTAGGAATATTTATACCATGGAACCGGGCAAATACTGCCCATCAGAGTGTCCCCTCTTTCAAAGGCCCTAAGCACACACCAGCAGAGTGCTTGCCACAAAGGAGATTCCAGGGGAGTGTCCATTTCATTCCACCCCAGGAAGCCTTGCCTGTGACTGCTGCCTCTGCTGTGAGAAGAACCTCCCCAAACCAAAGCCAGAGGCAGTATGGGTCACTCAGGGAGAGGGTCTGTGGGGAGTGCAGTGGCCCTGTCTGTGGCCCTTGTCAGGGTTGGAGCTTCAGCCGGCCCGGGACAAATGTGGAGGTCATTAGCGGTACCTGCTCTGTTGGTCATCTCTGAGGAAACAGAAGACGCAGGTGACTGGCCCCAGGGCCAGGTTTCAGGAAGATATGGTCTGTCTCCCCTGCCCTGGCCCCCAGTTTCCTCAGGAAGTCTTTTCATTCACCAGCTCCTTCTGCTCTCCTTGCCAGATCCAGAGTCACAGAGAAAGAGGACAGTCCAGAATGTGTTGGACCTTCGACAGAACCTGGAAGAGACCATGTCCAGCCTTCGAGGCTCCCAGGTGACTCACAGGTAAAGCCTGAGCTGCCCTTGGTGACGTCCTCTCCCTGGGTCTGGAGGGCAAGGCTTCGGGGTCTTTCCACATCTCCACATAAGCATCCCACGTCGAGCGGTCTGTGGCCTTGGCCTCTGTGGACACAGGTATCTGGATCCCCACACTGCCAGTGCTGCAAAGAAAGGGAGCCCAGGATCTCAGCAGGGGCACCGTGAAGTCTTGTCTCTGTTTATGCTTGAGCATGGGCTTTCACTTATCCGGAATCCCTGTGAAAACCGCTGGGGAAGGGTGGGAAGCCCAGGTGTGTGGTCTGTCATACGTGCTCTCTCCTTGGGGCCTAGTCTCCTCACCTGTCAGGAGGGCTTTGTTACTAAACACCACTACTCTTCAGGTCCTATCCTCTGGGATGCTAGGACCCGATCCTCCCAACACCTGGGCTCTTCAGCCCTCTGCCAGCCTGTGTCCTCTGGCTACTTCTGTCACTCCCAATGGAGGGCTGAGTACCTGGGAGGGTCTATGTACCATCACCCACAAAACCAGCCCCATGGCATCCCGCTTGTCCCCCAACCCTTAGAGAAACCCCCAAGCCTCCAACTACAGGGTGCACACCTCTCCCAGGGCCCTTTTTCCCTAGAGCAGCATTCTGGCCCCAGCCCCTGTGAGTCAGAATTTCCTCTGGACTTCCCTGGGCTGCTCAGATGAGCTCATACTGTCCGCCCTGAGGGGGACGGAGGACGCAACTAAGTTCTGAGGAGGGAGGTGAGCAGGCAGCCAAGGTTGGGAAATCATGGGGCATGGACGTGGAGGCTCGAAGCCTGTGCATTAGGAACCGACGCCTCCTCAGTTCAACTGGAGATAGGTTCCTCTCTGTCGCCTGGTGCTAGAAAACTGACCGCAAAGCCGGGACATAGGGTTAATGGGAAAAGGACTTTTATCAGCTCGGAGCATGGTCTGTCAGAGGAGTAGCCAAGACACACTTGCATATCCTCCATGTCAGGAACCCATCACTTTTGAGGCATCTCCATCTATGTCGGGGTGTCATGACTGCTGCTGTCCCGTGCCTTAGGAGCATCCATCCACTGGCCCTGGGTCTTCCTGTTGAGACTTGTCTCCTCTTACTTTCCACTGCCTCCCACATCCCCACTCACATCCCTGCCTTGAAAAGCCAGGCTCTTATTTCCCAGACATCTAAGCATCTACCTTACGACCAAAGCGGAGGTCATCAAGGGAGTCTGAGGAGAGGTGGTCAGTGTGGTTTCAGGAGCCCCCAAACAGTCTCTGTTCCATCCCACAAGCCCTAAGCAGCAATCCAAGTAGAGTGGAGCTCCCACTTAGCTGAATCACCCCGCAGTTTAGCCACCCATAGATGAAATCCTCACCCCCATCCCCTGTCCAAGGAAGTTTCTGGAACATCTCTCAATGCCAAGTCACCCGCCAGGATCGTGCCAAAGAAGCCAAGAGTTGCTGAATTGCTCTAAGAGTCACACCCCAAATGACTCACCCACAGAAACAGGGCAGAGGCAGCTGCTCTAGGCGCCTGGTGCCCCGACGCCTGCCCTGAGGCCCCTGGGAAATAGGGAAGACCCTGCTTGGATGGGGAAGAGAAGCCTAAAGCCTTCCCTTAGTGCTGACTGGTTGAGACAAGCGCCCTTCATGGAAAAGAAAGTACCAGCAAGAGCCTGTCTTCTGTTTACCATGGACTAGGGGCCACGTCTCCTCTTAGCCTTTGGTTTATATTAGTTCTGCTCCACACTCGCATAGTCTAAAGACCCGTTTTGTGCTGACTTTTATGGCTCTTTTGCTTTTTAAAGTGCTATCCATCCATCCTTCCTGCACCTTGGAATAATAATATTCCCTAGGCTAGCAAGAGGACCTTGGAGAAGAGGCACCTGTTGGACCCACAGGCTGCTGCGGGCAGCTGTGCATCCATACAGTGTGGGGCACCAGCCTTCAGAGCAAACACAGCCGTATCCCCGTGGGCCTCAGGGTTCAAGGGGTGCATCTGCCCCCCTGATGTTGCCGTCACCCTGGAGTTCACAGGGTAACTCAGACTCAGTTTCTTTTTGGAAACTTGCTTCCTCTATTTCTGTAGGTGTGTTCCCCTCCTTAGAGAGAGTCTGAGGTAGGGACTGTGGCTGGAGAGGAAGCAAAACTGACCTCCCCAGAGGGGCCATCCTGGGGCTGGGCACCCGCTGGAGGTCAGGAGATCAGCTCTGAGCTAGAAACCCTTTCCACTGAGATCTAGAGATGGATATTGGTGCTTTAAAAAAAAAAACACACAGAGCCTCAGAATAGGGGAAGAGGCATTTTATGTTCAGAGAGGAACACAGAGGGTAGGCAGGCCAGAGACAGAACTGAGTGAGGAACTACCCACACCAGCGCCCCTGGATCCCTCCATGCTCTCACCATGGTCTGCTGCTGCTGTTTATCCTCTCTTCTCCTTCTCCATCATCATCAATAACCATTTCATGGGCAGCTTATTTCTGTTAAGCACGTCCTGCATGAGGCCCTGGCCTTCCTCTGTGGTGAGACAGTCCCTGCTGCATTCAGCACAGCCGTCCTGGGTCTGCTCCTTGTTGGTTCCCTTGTGAAGTGCTAGAATACAGAGTGAGCATCGGGATTGAGTTACACCATGACCCTGGCTCCCCTGCCATCAGAGGATTTCCATTCTCCCACAAGAGATGGTGTCAAGGTCCACAGTAACTAGAAACGGATGCAGAACTGCAAAGGATGCTGGGACTGCTGGGCCCAGAGAGAAAGATGGGCGTAGGTCAGCTGGGAGTACTCAAGAGGTCACTGATGGCCCACAGGTCAGCTGCAAGGACCCCATCGTGCTGTTTTTCAGGACCACTGACCCTTCCTCCCCCTCCAATTTTGCTAAGGAATAGGAAGAACATTTTCTCAGGCTCAATAGAGACCATTTTGGAGGGTTTTTCTTTTTCCAAGCAACTTTATAAAAACAACAACAACAACAATAATAATAAAAATCAATGTCTGCCTCCCATCCCTGAGAGTGGCTATGAAAGGGATGTGGTCACAGATCAAAGATTCTTCTGCTTTGTGTACCTCATGTCTAGCCACAGGTTGCCTCAGATGTCCCAGCTTTGGTGGCCCACATACCTCATGTCATTAATTCAACCTTGTCTCACTTTAGTGATAGAGAAGGGTCAAAAGTAACTTGGAGTGGGACCATTGCTAGGCTTGGTGAACTTATCAATCACAGCCTGAACCAAATCCCTGATCACCATTCCTGCCAGATCTCAGCCATATTTCCTCTCTGGCCCTGTGAGAGAAGGCCTCAGTGTGTCTCTAGCCTCAGGCCCTCTGGTATCTGCCTGCCTGTAGCTTTCTTGACCTGACTTGGTGGCCTGGATGCTTGGGGCTCCTGGATCTTATTGTACCTCTCGTCTCCTTTCCTGGGTCCTCTCCTCTACCCAGTGAAGGCCATGTCTGTTTCCTGAGGAGGCTCTGCTTCCTCCTCTGATGCCCAGGCCTATGGCTAGAACCAGTCTTCCTGGGGCCTGCTTTATGTCTCATACCTTGTCTTGTACCTTCAACATCCGATTTTAGGTTTTTGTAGATATGGTACCTGAGAATCAGCTCTAGACAGAGATGATGGCCACATGCTGAACGAAGTGAACAGTTAAGGTCTTCTGAGCTCTGGTGATCAGTAGCCTCCACTTTTCCCAACCCACCAGGCCTCACTGGCTCTTTCTGGTTGGATGAGCATCTTCTACACGAGGGGCCCAGTCAGATCTGTATGGCTGTAGCCCTCCCAACTCTACAAACATTACGTAGGGTAGGCACTGTCCCATCTCACCGATAAGGAAGCAGTAGACCAGCAAGATTAATTTATTTCTTGGGGCTATTTACCAGAAAATGATTTTTAAAAAATATATTAAACCCTAGCCACACTCACAGCATAGGCTCTTCGGAGTGTATGGGATTGCTGTCTTGGCTACTTAGGATCACTGTCCCTTGACAGTCTGAGATAGCCTGTAACAAAGGAACTTACACTTAGGAGCCCCTACAGAGGGCGTCCCAGTGAGGGGACAGGGCACAGAGCGGTTGGGCTGAGGACTAAACCTGTGCCATCCACTCTCTCCACAGCTCCCTGGAGATGACTTGTTACGACAGCGATGACGCCAACCCGCGAAGTGTATCCAGCCTCTCCAACCGTTCCTCGCCCCTCTCTTGGCGCTACGGCCAGTCCAGTCCCCGGCTGCAGGCTGGCGATGCACCCTCTGTTGGGGGGAGCTGCCGCTCCGAGGGGCCACCAGCCTGGTACATGCACGGGGAACGGGCACACTACTCCCACACAATGCCTATGCGGAGCCCTAGCAAGCTCAGCCACATCTCCCGCCTGGAGTTGGTGGAGTCCCTGGACTCTGATGAGGTGGACCTCAAGTCCGGCTACATGAGTGACAGCGACCTCATGGGCAAGACCATGACAGAGGATGATGACATCACGACAGGGTAAGCCCAGGGGCCCTCGGACAGCTGGTGCAGAAGGCGTGGGAGGAGAGCAGACGGAATGATGGGATGGGATGCCTTGAAAGGAGAGTGGAGCTCAGCATGTGTTTGCTGTGCCGTGACGAAAGGGGTGTGCGGAGGGCTAGTGTGCGCGAAGTGACTGCCTTTGCAATCAGATGTGGCTTGTTCTAGAGGGGTGTGGTGGGTGGGGCTGACAACAGAGGAGCTGATTGGTCCATAAACAGATGCCCTTATTCTCTTCCCTGACCTGTCCTCCCAAAAGTGTGGCCCAAAGAGCCCTGGAAACCTTTTTGAGGCCCAGCTCTTCTGCAGACTGGGTAGACCGCGGATGACTCAGTTTGCTTCCGAACATCTGCAAAATGAGGCTAAGAATGTCACCTCCTTGTACCCGCTAAGAGAAAACACCGTTTGAATGAAAGTGTGGGTCCCACAGAGTGGGGGTGGTGTCTTTACTTCCTCTGCCTGGGGTTCCAGGCCTCCTTACCTCCGCCCTTGGTTTATATCCTTGGGTTTCTGCTTCTGCAATCCTTCTACCCATAATGCCGCATCCTGTTCCCTACCCCAGTCGATTAAACCTTCTTCCCTGCCCTTGGACCCCCAGAGACCCCCAGCTTATCTTTTCTGCCATAATAGACAGTGTAGACTTGGGGAGACAATCTGGACAGACATGGCAGTCTTGGAAGTAAAAAGAGGACAGAAAGAATTTGAACTGATGGGGTTCGGGACATTCTGACCAACTTTTGCAAGCCCAGAGACCAGAGAGCTGCATGGTTCTGGAAACTTCTCTGGGGGGTCTCTCAGCAGACTGCCACTTCCGTTCTTCCTTCATGGTTTTCTGGGATCTCCACTCCTAAGACACCCCATAAAGCAGCAGCAGCCCTTCCCTTCCCTTCAGGTGCCTCAAATCATCCTGCCAGAGATTGCCACTCCTAACAAAACGGCAGCTTCAAGGGCATGGAAAGTGGCCTCTTGGAAAAGACTGAGCTGAGTTCCAGGCCGTCCACCACTCCCAGCCCGCAGCCCACCCATGGGGATAAACTTGGCAGGTCTGGTCATGGTCTGTCCAGCTGATGAGGCTGCTCTGGAGGAAAACAACTGACGCATGAATGGCTTGTTTACTGCCTGGCAGATCCCAGGGGCGGCCCAACCTCATGCTCAGATCCGCCAGCCTGGAGCAGGGATAGAGAGGAGTCATTCTGTGTTCAGGCCCCAGCTGCTGCTGTGGTCAGGAGCCTGTGATAGGGAGGGAAAAGAGCCCGTGGCAGAGAAGCTGCTCCAAACAGGCCATGTGCCCTGGGAAGTGCCTGTGCAGAAATGTCAGGTCCCTGTCCCCTGATGCCCCAGCCTATGGGGCATAGAGGAGCCTCTGGGGCTGAGGGCTCAGGACTGGGGCCCCTGTGCTAGGGAATTCCAAGACTGGCGGGATCCTCACCCTCAGGGAGCCCCCAGACCTAGCAGCATTATTAAAACCCCTCTAATGTCCCCCAAAGTACAGGAAGGCACAGGACCCCTGCACGGAGAGACCCACTCTGACAAAGTAGTAGGACTTCTAGAATTGACTAGCTGTTTGAGCTTGAGTTACTAAGCTAATCTCTGTATTTTAATCTGTCCATTTACTGAATGCAGATAACTGTAGGACAGCCTATGGCCCACTATGAAGATAAAAAGGGTTAATATATGTAAAAGGCTTTGTATAATTCCTAGCTCGGTTAATTGCGCACTGGGTTACCTGTCAGGACTGTTGTTAGAGTCCCAGACTGATGGACAGCATTTAGCTCCCTCCTTTTATCCTCTTTCCTCTGGGTAGTGTGTGTGCCCTTGATTGAGTTAAGTCAAAACAGAGAGTGAGAAGAATGAGACCTCGGCCTCTCTGCTCACCCCACAGCTGGGAGGCCAGGGAAGCCTGGAGTCCTCTTGGAGACTATATGATAAGTGGCTGGCATGGCAATATTCACAAAGTAGATGAGAGTATAAATCTCAATACTAGCTTGCAATGTCACTTCATATGCGTCTTTTATGGTCCCTTTTCAAGTAGTGGTAACCTTTCCCTAGTTTTAAGTGTTTTCTGCCCCCGAGTACCTGTCCTAGACCATAAAGGGAAGGTCATCCTAAATCTGCTTAGGACGTCAGCATTGAAGGAGTCAGCTCATAAAGCCCAGTGAGTTTAAAGCTCACCGTTGCTCCCCCGTCAAGCGACCTCCGACTACACACTGTGCTTCTGCGTTAAAGCAGGATATGCTAGACTCCAGAATCCTTGGGTGACCCTCCCTCAGCCTCCGTTAGTTCGCATCCCCACTGTGGTTCTCAGCCAGACTCTGTCATTTGTAAAATGAACTGGAGAGATGGCTCAGTGGTTAAGAACACTGGCTGCTCTTCCAGAGGACCTGGGTTCAATTCCCAGCACCTACATGGCTACTCGCTCCCACCTGTAACTCCAGTCCCAGGGGATCTGATGCTGTCTTCTTGCCTCCAGCACCAGATGTGCAGATGTGATGTGCAGAAATACATGCAGGCAAAACACCCATACAAGCTAAAAAAAAAAAAAAAAAAGTCATTTTCCTAAGAAAATTGTTTTTCCAGTTTATAAGATGAATTGGGCCCTTCCCATCCACCCATCAGCCATTTAAACTACTTCTCAGGGACCTCCAGGGCTGGGCCAGCTGAGCAGTGCAGCTGATTGCGGAGCTTCTTTCTGCCTTCCCCTTGGGTGACACTGTTGGTCACAGGCTGTCCACGTGAGCCACGTGGATGGCAGTGGTTCTCACCCTTTCTCAGTTATCCCATGGGGACTGTCCTCTGGCTGGTTCCTCTCAGGCTGTGTGAGCTTCGAGTCAGCTCTCCTGGCCCTATCTAGCAGCAAGTAGCTCCCCGGTTTATCACTTGGCAAACTGAAGATGTTCATTTTTCTAAGAAGTGGGGAGAGTAGACCGGGAAAGGCTCTAATGCTGTGGTCCAAGGAGTCACGTGCTTAAAATTCAGTTTGATAATCAGTGAAGTGTACAGGAGAGTCACCATTTTAAAAGAACATGTTGTTTGTTTGTTTGTTTGTTGTTTTTGTTTTTTTGAGACAGGGTTTCTCTGTGTAGTTTTGGTGCCTGTCCTGGATCTCGCTCTGTAGACCAGGCTGGCCTTGAACTCACAGAGATCCACCTGGCCCTGCCTCCCAAGTGCTAGGATTAAAGGCGTGCGCCACCACCACCCGGCAGTTTGTGTTGTTTTTCAAGACAGGGTTTTTTTCTCTGTGTAGCCCTGGCTGTCCTGAAACTCACTCTGTAGACCAGGCTGGCCTGGAACTCAGAGATCTGCCTGACTCTGTCTTCCAAGGTGCTGGGAATGCACCACCACCACCACTGCCTAGCTAGAATTATTATTTTTTTAATTCTTTTAACTTTTATTGATCTTTGTGGATTTCACATCATGGATTCCAATCCTACTCACCTCCCGGTCCATAGCATCTGCCTCCTGCCCTTGCAGCCTCCCCCACAAAGCAAAACAAAAGAAAAACCAAAAATGAGACAAGAGAGAGAGAAGAATCTTGCCGTGGAAGCTGTAGTGTGGCCCGTTGAGTCACACAGTTTACCCTTTCGTCCGTTCATCTTTACTTGCAAGGGTTCATTGCCACGAGTCAGTGGTCTGGCTCGAGGCCTCTGGTTTCTGCTACACCAGGGATAATGGGCTCTCACCAGGGCTCCTCTTGGATGTCCTGTTGTTTTCCTGTGTCATGGAGATCCCGCTGTTTTGGATCTGTAGGTTCGTCCCCTTCACATGCTCCAGCAGTTCATAGATGAGGTGGATGTTGGTGTGGGCTATCTCATAGCCCTGGTTCTGGGCCTGACTGGTAGCTGGGTTGGTCAGCCCACCAGCTTTCCCTCGTCATCACTACCCTGGCAAACTCTCCTGCACTGCCTGAGCTAGGTCACCCAATGCAGCCCGCAGCAAGGGTGGGGGGCCAGGTCTGCTCCCAGGCCCTGGGGTCTGGCTCACTCACACTCACACCAGCAGGACCAGCTCGGCTGTTTTGCCCAGGTGAGGTGCAGGACCCTCTCTGCCCATTGCTGTAGGGAGGTATGGGGTATGTGTGTCAGCTCTTCTGCTCGAATGCCCTCAGAGCTGGCCCACCTGTACCCCAACAACAGGGTCGGCTCTAGTGTGCTGTCCAGGTGGGGTGCAGGGCACTCTTGTGTGCTGCAGCTGGTAAGGGGCAGGGCTCATTCTCTCACTCTTGTGACCATGACGGGGGGGGGGGGGGG